GTTAGGAGGGTGGTGAATGGAAGGTTGTCGAGCCTAGGAAAAAGAAGAAAGGCATGGCGAGACCAGGTGCTGCCAAGGCGTCGGAGTTCTCGCCATTCCCCCAAAAGGAGGGCCGGTGCAGGCAAATAGGAAGGTGGTTCTCCCTCGCCTTGCGCGATCATCTGCGGTGACTCTAACGTTGGGCAAGGGGATGAAGACATCGTGCGCCGCTATGCTGGCGACGGCTAGACAGAAAGTCCCGCTAGCCGAAGTCGGTATTAAGCGAGACGATAATTGGGGACATGACTCTGGAAGTTCCCGGGGATAAAGAGACATGGCACCCGCGCTTGCAGCACGGCTGGCCCCAGCCCTGGATCTGGCCACGGTAAGAGTCGCAGCTCCAACAAGAACGACGGAGATGAGGGTGACTGGGATCGACATCTCAGTCGGCAAGGAGGAGCTTCGGGACACCCTGTCTGTGTCCGGGTAATGTGGGGGCATTGGAGGTTCGAGTAAAAGACATATCGGATAACATAACGTGCTTACGACAGACTCAAGTGTTTCAGTAAGACATCTATCTTATTAAAACTTGTGATTTCTATGGACTCGACCATTAATGTTCCATTAATATTCAAATTCATCCATCTTGAAATAGCTCCTCTCAACTCGAATTCTTTAAATTAACAATCTGACATTTAATTTATGATTAAAATCAAATCAATTCGTGAAACGCTGTTCTATTTAAATTATCGGTTACACTTTATTAATTGATGTGTATGGAATTAACTGTGTTTATATAAACATCGCTATATTGTGGTGGTATACCAACTCTTCAAAATTGTAACAAGCTAGGATGCACTGTAATCCACCTCACCCACTTTATGTCCACTTCTTGGCAGGTAAGACGGAAGGAGATGAGGCATCTCCCTTGCCAATAATCCTCCGACTCTTTTAAGGTAACCTTCAAACTCTTAGCACTCCCTTTCTGCAGTGCTGCACTACTACGAAACTATCTGGTGGAGATAGAAGGAACATTTCCTCTTCTGGATGAGATTTTTTCAAAAATCTTATCTTTTTTATCTATGTAATCTTTAAATTAATGGGCAAATTCTCGTACGCATGTTGCCATGGGCGAAAATTCTATATGCATTAGCAACTCTGTATATCGGAATTCGTTTCACCCTCCTCAGCTTTTTAGAATTGCGCTTTAGGTCCACAGCTATCTGCCATGGGGAGCCATGCTCCGTAATGAACAACGGATTGCCAAATCGAATAATATAATCTACTGACATAAGTTGCCAGATCGCCGGCGTTAAAAAGAAGGCGGTGCAGTTTTTTCGAAAACTCTCATGCCTTCTTTTCACCCTCGCTCAATGTCATCTGCATATTTTTTTCTAACATCAAATAAAACTCCCAAATATCTCACGAGTACTTTAGACCTTATTATCGGTTATTATAATACGACTAGCTAAAGAATCGGAGACCAGCTGAATTCTCTTTCTAGTTAGCAAGAATATCTCCGCTTTTGTTTCGCTATATTCAGCTGGTATTCGTCGAATTAGTCAAAGATGCACGCAAAAGACGAATTTAGTTTTCTCCTTATTTTCTCAACGTTCTTGTCAGAAGGGTTTGTGGCAGCACTCGACAGCACAAATACCATCACTCGACACTAACTAGAGTCGGACGACGGCAACGCACTGGTTAGCGCCTTAGGTTACGAACGTTCGGGACCCGGGTTCAAATCCTGGCGCCCCTACTCCGATTTTTCTTCCACAATTCTTATATAAGAAGAAAAATACAGCAGTACCCCGGCAGCGACATCTACAGCCAACAGCTACAATTATCACGGACAACACAATACACCTCAGGTCAAATCGTCAGTGTAGTAAGAAATATCTGAGAACGCCATTATAGATAATGTTTCACAAAGTTGGTCCCAGTGTGGAATCTTTTGGACCATCCCTCTCCCTATGAACAGAAATTTTATTCATACTTGTTTTAAAATCAATCCAAATGTGTCTGTACTCAAATGTAGTGAAAACAATTCATCGAAACTGTTTTGATTACTTGTGAGAAATTCCTATTATCAGCTTCTCGTACCCTTAACCCTTAAATCCTTAAATAAATCACAAGCTTAGCCACTTTGTGAAGATCGTCGATGGATCCTCTCCTTTTTCTAATACCGATCTGAAAGTTTGCAAGACTATGAGGCCCCAAAACGAGACAATTTGGTTTCAATTACACATTCCCATATCTACGTAATGCTTAAAAAGTTCTCTAATGGTCGGCAATCGGATGGGGAGGAAAAGACTCTCCCTCCTCTATTTCTTAATAAGAACTAGGCAAACCTCTTTCTATTTTGGGGGAATCTTTCCATAAGTAAAAGTATTGTTATATAGAACGCAAAAGTCCTATGGCCTGTTATCAATCAGAAGTTTCACAATTTTTCTGACTTCGGGCTAAATAGCAAAATAGCTGCTGTCTAAGGCGACTATCACGAATTGATCAACAGGAATTGCCGCAGTGTTCCATCATGTATCCGTTACGCCTCGATACGCAACGAAGAAGCGCCCAACCTATCTTAGTAAAATCACTTTTGCGATAACCGACCTATAAGGCGTTGTCAATTAAACAGTAGAACTATTTCTGGAAATCTTGTTTACTTTTCAAGATATCTATGCGTAATTCATTCCTTTTGCCCTTAAATATAGGTTCCAAAGCAGTCACATCCTGGATTCTTTTCTTTTCGAGTCCTATGAACCCAACGTCTCACGCTATTCGTTTCTTTTCTAAAGGTAGCAATTTCGTCACTTCACCAATAATTCGCCCAGTTTACTCTTTTGAGATTAATGTCACATAAATCCTGTATTGCTATGTTGTATCTAACAAAATGATCCAACTTTTGTTCTTCATAGGTGCTCCACTCTGAGATCGTATTGTCGTAAAGAACAAGTAGAGCCTCGCTGTCGAGATTATTCAGATTATAACCATATTTCGAATTAAAATCCTTCGAAACAATTAATCGAAAATCGGATCTTCTAGCTTCGATAATGTCGACCTCCGATATGTACAAATATAATTGAAATACTGCCACAATCAAATGTTCGGTGAAGTGTAACAACTAAAAAATCTAGCGTTATCCGAAATTTCGAAGACAAACCCATTGTTACTTTTGGCAGAGCCCGCACCATAGTAAACATTATTATGTCTTGTTGCCTAAATTGCCATATTGTCGTCTTAGTCAGTGTGCCAGCCATTACTTATGGAATGCGGTTTTATGGAAAGCTCAATTGCTGTCTTATACAGCAACTTGTGGGCTAACTTGTATCTATTACAGTTTACTTACAAAAATTTTATTTTTGTATCATCAACGATGTTGTCTGATTAATTAATTCCCTATAAATAAGACAAGGCAGAGAGGCCGTTACATGATTTATTTTACCTTCATCCATGTTTCTCTTTTTACATATAACGCACCTTTGAGGCGTGGGCAGTTTTTCTGATGTATCCCTCGGCGCTACTTCTTCCACGTAACTCTTTTCCATTTAATATTTAATTAAATTTAAATTCAGCGCTCGTACGATCAAATCCGTAGCAACAGGAGCATCAAACGACTGGCGGTACAATCTGAAGAGGAAAATTTATAAGGCCCATTTCAATCCTTTTACCTTCTTTTATTTTATCCCTAAATTCGCCTGAAATCTCGACCAGAACAGTTCGCGTACCATTGAAGCTTCTTCTTAACCCTTAGAGTGCTGAATACTCGAGGCCTATGCGGTCCGTACGGACGGCGCTCGGCCAGCGCTGACGATCGCTGTAGACGGAGTACTTTTCCGCTAGACTGAACTCTGTTGATTAACTATTCAAAGAGCAAATCGTAATAAGTTATAGTCATTCTTTTGCACGAGATTAAATGATTCGAGAGCGTTATTTTGTAGTATTAATTATTTATTATAAACATTGAAATTTACAATAAACTAGAATTTGGGTAATAAACTAGAAAACAATAAACTAGAAAACTAAATTTAGTAAATATAATACAAGTTAATAATTCAGTTGTGTGTGAAAAATTTAATACAATTATCGATACATAATCCGACATCGCATTTTCTGCATTTGTATCGCGTGTCGCTCCTTCTCTTATTTTTCAAACAAACAACACATTTTCTTCTTGATAATTGTGTTGTGCCAGCACGATTAGGGCATTTTGATGGAAAATGTCTATCAATTAAACAAAATGGTAAATCCTCAGACTTTCTCTTTCCTCCTCCTACCATGTTCCTACGTTGGAAATATTTTCGTAAAATGTGTCTTATCAACACTAAATGAAATTCACTAAATTTTTGTTTCGAAGCAGTAGATTTTTGATATAAAATATTTATCTCACACAAACGTAATAGTATTACTTCTGCATAGGTGTACGGAAATATTGACTAACGCATATATGCGTTCTTGGTTCACACCGATAGCTTTCGCTAAACGCATATATGCGTCCATAGCACTCTAAGGGTTAAGGCCCCCAATTCAACGTCTTCCTCTTTGTCGGTACGTAGAGCGACCGTGGTATTATTGACTATTTCTCCTTTCTCAATGATAGAATCAAGATCTCTACACTGAAATGTAATCGTCTGATTCATTGCTTTAACCACAGTGTCTTCGCCCAGTACTTTTTTTATATCCTCATTCAAGGCAGTTATTCTTCTTCATCTCGATGAGAAGTGTTCCTATCCTTTTTCTATATTTTCCAGTATTTTCACCAATCTTTAAGGTGATAGCTCATTGTGAAGCTCAGTAAAATCTTTACCTTTATCGATTATAACAAGAATTGCATCGTTTTTCGTTCAAAGTTTTCTTCTGAACTGAGGTTCTCTTAGAGATCCCGTCGTAAGTCTATCAGAGTTGACTTTATCTCCCTTTTGAACGCTACTGTGTATTGTGAATTCGACTTTTTATGCAATTTCAATGCATAAAGAGAATGAATGAACGAAAAGATTATATGTACAGCGCCACTTAAAAGATTTAAATTCAGTGATAGAAAAATGCACTTTTAAAGTTTCTGTTTACAGAAATATAATAAATCAATATAATAGATTCTTTGCTTATTACCAATGAAATTTAATTTAAAATATTTGTTTACTGACGAATAGCAATTTATTGATATTATATACTACGTATTGAAGAATAAAATTGAACTGTTTATTTTGTTTTGACTCCTCTTAAAAGGGAAACAATGATCTGACCCAAATCTCTAATCTTCGCATTCTCTTGACTCATATGTTGAATTTTGATTAGTTATATCGAAGCGATCTTCCTCGTTTGTTAGTGATATTTGTTCTGTTGGCAGATAGAATAAGATATCATAGTAATAAAAATATTAACTGGGATATAACAAATTGAAATAGCAAAACACAGACGTCGGTCAAGAAGTGTGTGATGTAAAATATTTTCCGAATATATCTGACATACATCGGATACATCTCACAAATACAAACATTTGTTCTTACGTCAAATAAGGATAAAGTACTGATATATGCATCACAAGTTAAACATCGAGATAAATAATTCTGTAAGCATTTTCCGTAACCATGAAATTATATGATATAAGCTTTTCAACACTTAGGCAACCGAATAGGGAGATCTCCCTTTTTGACTTTAGCAACGCGTTTTATTTTATTTTATTTTTTTTTAGTCCGTTACGACTAAATAAAGTTATAATCGAACGGTACGACACTGTAAAAAAATATTGAAATGCATCATGAATTTTTAATTTCATGTTCAAGTTGTGTTATTTATCTTTAGTCGTCTTGAACGTTTTTAATATTACCTATATTTTTTTATACTTTTAAACACAATGTTTTGTATAAACATTGAAATCGTTAAATAAAATCATTACCACAAAATATAATTAACTACTTAGAGAATTTTTAGACTTTTTTGTTTTTTAAGTACTGAAAATTGGTCCTCGATACTTGGAAAAATGCGCAATGGAAACGTATAGCACGCTGTGACGCGCGCTGGTTGGCTAAATGTTGAAAGATTTATATTCGAAATATAATGTAATAGTTTGAAACATCCTCTATATCTCCGCGAATACAGGGACAATTACGAAATTGTGCTTTCTTTCCTAAATTCTATTACAGTAGAGCCTTCTTTATCTGAACATCCATTATCCGAATACAGTATTATTCGAACGTTCTGCTATCCCAACATAGTACTTCTCAGTAATAAATATCTTTTTCCATTTCAGGTATGTACATATTGAATTGGTGTTCGTATACAATGTATTCTTTCCTTAATTCAATTGAGTGACTGTTAATTGTAAGAATTTGGTACAGAACTTGTTGCGATTTATCAACTAGACGGCGATGAGCCCGGTGCAAACTGTTATCTTGAGGTCGCGGTCCTTGAACGATATTACCGCTCAAGGTGGAGGTAGACTAACGATGCAGAGTAATCTTGTGTTTAGTTGGTTTATTTGCAGTTTAGTATACATTGCGATGGTCGGAATTCGCGTGAGACCTCTACTTCGTGAGAAAAATTGAAAACAGTACTTCAAAATTAGGGTCAAAGCTGGCCCCGCCAGCTTTACTTAATATTTACAAATATCTGCAAATTGATATTGCCAAACTATTGTATATCAATGTATTAGTTGAAGCCCACGGAATTCATTGAACCTAACAGGAATCGTATAGTTCTTGTAATTTTGCTATAAATTGAGGTCAAAGTTAAAAAATTGCAATCGTGTTGAACAGTTTAATCTAACGCTGCGTCTCCCCACGAAGCAGACGGTGCATTCGGGCGCTGCCTTACAGAAAAAACCCTGAATATCGGCGCCAGTGTCAACGTGTTAATTTGCCTTTTTTGTGTTATGTGCGTGCCATTCAATTGGATATTTGGTGTTTTCCGTTTTCTTAGTGTAAATCTAATATGGTGGCATTTACTGGGGTTTGCTTTTATTTGTTTATCTTGTAGCCACTTTTCTATTTTTGTGATGTGTTCTTGTAGTAATTTGACTGCTGTTTCTGGGTTAGTGTGCCTGACTAGTACAACTGTGTCGTCCGCGAATGTCAGTATTTTGCTATTAGTAGTTGTTGGTATGTTGGCCGTGTATAGTGTATATAATGTTGGGCCTAAGACACTTCCTTGCGGTACCCCTGCCTTCATGTTTTTACTTCAGAATATACATCCTTTATTTTTACTATAAAGGTTGGGATTAGGTTGGGTATGATTTGAGTAAGTAATGGATTTATTCCGGGAAGTGTTTTTTGATTGTTTGTAAGAGGCTTTCATGGTCCACTTTGTCAAATGCTTTCTCAATGTACATGAAGAGGGATGTACAGCATTGTTTCTTTTCTATTGCTAGTAAAATTTCGTTGACGAGCCTGTGCATTTGCTCTATAGTGGAGTGTTTGTTACTGAATCCAAATTGGTAATCTGGTACTAATTTTTTTTCTCTATTGTTGGTTTTAGGCGATCGCATATTATTTTCTCTAGTATTTTGGAAAGCACAGGAAGTAGCGATATTGGTCTGTAAAATGCAGTTTGGTGTGTGTCTTTGCCTGGCTTAGCTAACATTATGATCTGTGCTAGCTTCTAGAATTCTTAAAATTGCATTGAATATTATTGTGATTAAACGTATTGCTTTTGAAGGAAGGTTTTTAAAAATTTTACCATTGATTAGGTCGATTCCTGGTGTTTTATTGTATTTTGTTTTCTCGATTATGATTCTAACTTGTTGTGCTGTTGTATTAAATATGTCTTCGTCTCAATGACATTTGGTTTTACTGTTGTTAGTATTATATGGAGTAAATGTGTTACAAAGGTGGTTGAAGAATTCTGCAGCTTGCTCTTCGTTGCTTCTGGCCTATGTGTTGTCTGCTTTTCTGATTGCTGGGATTAGTTTTATTGGCTTCCTTATTTTATTCGTCGCTTTTCATAGAGAGTAGTTGGCATTCGCGTGCACAGAAAGTGTTTCTATGAATTTTGAGAATTCGTTACTATTATGATCTTTTATTTTACTTTTTACTTTCTTTGCGAGTTTGTTTGGATGTTTTTTGTTTTCACGTGTTCTATGTTTTTGCTATTTTGCTTTCGCTTTCCTTTTTTCTCTGATTTTGTCAAGGATATTTGGTTTTGTTTGGTTTATAAATAATAGTTAGCCATGCTGCTTCTTGCATGATTTCTGTCAATGTTGTTACTGCCTGTTCGATGCGTTTGGGTGTTTTTAATGGAATATTGCAGTAGATTTCGCTCTTGATTAGTTCTTTAAATGTTTGCCATTTGGTACTCTTATTGCAAAGTGACTCTGATTTGTTATTAAATATTGGTTTGCTTGTATATTCTATTATTATCGGTGTATGATGGAAGCTAAGCTCCAGACTGGGTGTTACTTTTAATTTGTTTGTGTTTGCTCCTTTTATACCTGCAAAATTAAGCAAGTCAGCAATTTTGTTTAGATCTGTCTGCCAGTGTGTTGGTCTTCCTGTGGATGATATGTTGAGATTATTAGTTCTAATAAATTTTTCTAGTGTTCTACCTCGGGGCGTGTTAATTCTTGAACCCTATAGCGTGTGCTTTGCATTGAAGTCTCCCGCTGCTATGTAATTACTTACGTTGAAAGAATTACGTGTCTTAGCAGCCAAAAAGTTATGGATATTCAATATTTAGAGAAGCTATCGATTAAACTTAATTTGTATTTGAAATAAATGAAATTTCACACAAGAATAGTGATTGTTGTATTATGAGAAAATTCCATTATCCGAACAGTATGGCTGCTTATAAATTCTCATAAAGAAGACTCTACTGTACTTGCATCAGTTCTGTACAATATTGTAAAGTGGGAAAATATTTTTATTTATAGTAATCCATTCTTCGTGTTCATAATAATTTCTATAAGACTTGATTTTTAATTTAACTTACATTCGATTGCACCTTAAAGCGTTAAACATTGTTCCAAATTCTGTGGGATCCTTGCATCGATCACAAGTACATTCAAAAAATTTTGTTTTAAGAAGATGGTGTCTTCTGTTTGCAGTACCCCACAATGGATCCGTATAACATATAGAAATGTGGTCTCCTAAAATATTTCATACAAATTCATACAGTTGCATTTATCTACAACATTTAGGCTAAGAACAGACAATTTATTCGACGCGATTTTTGACGAATTGGTCACATCGCCTTATACTCTATAGCTGAATTGCTTACAGAAAAAGACACAGAATTTATTAATTTCGCACAAATATTTTCAATTCTACCATCGCAAGCGCTTTTATTCTTTACACCGTTGATTTATTTTCATCCATGGAAGGTACAAGTACACACAAGAAACAGTTCTTTAGCATAAATGTATGTATATGTAGTATCGTGGACGAAAAGCCTAAGAGATATCGGGCGAACCATGAACAATGTCGCGAGAGCCGAGGCGCCGTCGGGTCCATCAATGTGTCATCGGTCTTTTCAAGTGCATAGTTTCGTAGAAAAGACCTACGTGACCCTGGCTACGAGTGTCTGCAGAACACGTGTGCGGTGGGCCTAGCAAAAGACAATAGAATGCTACAACGGCCAGAGAGTCAGTCGAGAAACAGAGTTTGCGAGTGGCGTTGCCGAGAGACTGTTGATTGCATTTTGTGAAAGTCGAGTCGCTATCCAATTATTTAGTTGTGCTGTTTTCTGTACGTTTGGTGTGAATAGTTCAGGTTAAACAACAATCGTCTTTTTCTGTCCGATTAACATCTGTATCATCCATTCCTTGTAAATATATTATATCACGATATTACATATATATATATACACGAATAGAGCATACAGCTGGAACCACTTCGATCACTGCATCTTCACTATTTCAGTGAAAAGTATTTCAGATAAAAGTTGAATGGTATTGAGGTTATTCGGTGTGTAAACAGAGAAAACACGTGGATAAATTGTAAGGTAGAAAATATATTTAAATAGAAGTGTAATAAGTAAAAATACAATTTGAGCTGGTCCAGATCCGCACGCTAGCTGTGTTACCTAATAACTGAAAAACCCCGAAGCCAACGTCGCCTGTCTACTGTTTATGGCCTGACTTCGTCACAGTCTTTTGTCTACACGCTGTCGATGGCTTCAGTGCTTGAGAAAACTAAAAAAGACCAGATGTAGAGTTTTCTTAGAAGTGGTAACCACTTCAACAAATGGTTTCAAGGAGGACAGAATTTGACGCGATTAGTGTCTTTGTAGGAGAATGCGTAAAATACATATGAAGGCCAGATCTGTCTTCTTAAATGAAATCATATACTTTTTATTATGTTAGTCTATCCAACTCATAATTCTATATAAAAAAGAATTAACCTATTAATATTAAAAACCATTTATAAGTGGCATAACTGAAGCCACCGCAATAACTCTAAAAATAGTAACTTGAATTCAAGCAGTTGACAAAAATCAAAACTTGTTGACCTCCTGCGCATCTTGAAACCACTTATATTTGAACTTATATTTGAACTTATATTTGAAAAATTTGTCACGAAAATCATGACATACACAGTGATCGAAGTGGTTCCGGTTACCTTCATTCCGTATATTAAATATTGTCAGTAGATGTCCATATTACGTATTCATAGGAAATTTTAAAGTGTAAAATTACACAAAGTGCGTATAATGTGATAAAAGAATTTTCTACCGAGATTCCTTCCTACCTATATTCTCAAGAAGATGAATTTGCATAAAAACACTCAATCCAATTATTAGCAAATTTCTATCGTAACATATAAAGATGTCCACATAGTTGATGATTCGTTTATGTTTTGAAGAATGGCTGTAACAAAAGCTAATATTTTAAATTACTTATTGTCTTACTTAGAAAGAGAGGAAGAGATAAGCATGGATATTTACATAAATATTGGAAAATTATTTTGCTGTAAGTTTCTTCAATCGACATTGTAATATTTTCAATCAACATGGACTTCACTACTCGTATATGTAATCAACAGTTTCTAATTGAAATCTATTTTGTAATAGTACTGTGACTAATTTCTATAAAATTTATTTGGTATTCTCAACGTCTTTTTGTCGATTCTCGTCACCGACTTTCGTGAAAACTACCCTGTGTGTACAGTTAAGAAACAGTTAAAAGAGCCTATTACTTCTTTAAAAATTGCTTTGCATGTTCTTAGTCATAATGATGCTTCTATATGTATATATACAGGTCATTTATATGTCGGAGATGAAAGGACACCAGAGCCTACCCTTTGGAACTTTGGGAAAAACCCTTAAAATTATAATCTAGATTCTTTAGTCAATCCGATTGCATTTGTTCAATATTTGTAATAGTGAGCTTGGGTTCGAGGCGACAACCAGTCGCCGAACGTACCTGCGGTCAGGGGGATAAACGTTTTGTCTAACAAAGATATAGGGTAATAGTATAGCTTTCCTTAAAAGAAATACTTGTAGCAGCACTCGGCATTAAACATTCCAACGGTTTCTGTCCCGTGGCTCGCCACACGCAGACCCTATTCTTCGGGCAAGACGATCATCATATGTTAACGCATCTCCACGGTACATGTTCAGCTAGCCCAAGGACCCGTTATAAATCTTAAGTCCTTCAAACAGACAAACAGTCTTTGTTCCAACTACGGGAAGATAGAGGAACTTTATTTTTTTCTCACGAACGACGCTTTCCGCTAGCAACTTTCCCTCAAGGGCGGCTAGCATCCTTCTCTAACCACCAACATGGAAATTGACCAATTAACAGCAACATCAATTTCTAACGCTTTCCGAACGAAGGCCTCTCTCCACGAATCTGGTGATCTCATGCCCTTAGACACACCCCATTATAGTTTTCCTCTGCAACATCACCGTGACGGAGAGACACACTCTCTCGCGCACTCTCAGCAACTAATTACACAGCGTTTTGATCAGTGAATTTCTCACGCTCTAACATAGAGTCCAACTTAGACTTTGACGAAACAATAAATTCGTTATCCCGTTGACCGCGGATATCGAACCCGAGGTTATTGTCATTAGAGTCGCGAGTGCCCAGTCGCCGTCGTTAATTGTCAAGTCTGTAGTATCCATACTTGTGTTAATAAACTGTATCTTTGTTATACCACAACGATGGCTAATTTTAATGAAGATTCATCAAACAGCCACAACCCTACCCACAACGCCAACCCGACATATAAATATGTGATATCAAATTATTTGTAAATATCAAAACGGTAAAAAAGGTTAATATATAGAAATACTGGATAAATGATAAACAATTTAACTTTACACTACAAAATGTTTATGTAGACGTCAGCCGTTTTGCCTCAGCGTACACATTTGCCCGAATGACAGACAAAACGTTCAATAACATCATTTGTTAAGCAGAGCCGAAATGTTCAACACACATATGCACACGTGTAATATAGAGTATTCTAGTCACTCATCGAAAAACATTGCCAGCGTATTCTATAATTAAGAATAAAAGAACCATATAAACATAGGCTTATAAACTTTTTATTAAAAAGTCGTAATGATGATACGAAATTAGCGAAATTTTCGTTTAAATATAATAGGCAACGAGTACCAACAATGTCGCACCTCAACAACGTCGAGTAATTCTTTGGTTCAACCAGATTTTTAATTGCAGGCAATTGTAAACGAAAAAATTCATGTAACAAGATTTAATGCACGCCAGGAATCAATATAAAGAAATCAATGAGAAGTTTGTAATATAACGAGTTTACTTTTTTTGCATTTCCACTGGAACAAATAAAACTGATATAAATATCCTCAATCTGTATCTTTTATCGAACGAAAAATTAGTCGGTTGTTTCGCCTTTGTGTTCTAATTTTTTAGAAATGCATTAGCACAACATTTTTCCCCTTATTTTTAGTCATAGCATATGCCAACACCGTTTTGCACAAAAGACTGGAATATGCCGTACTATTTGTTGCTCAGAAAATGATATTTGAGACTGCAGAGTAGCAAGAGCATTACTCTGCTACTTCGCTCACCATCACACGATGTCGTATGGTCTTACTTGTAGATGCAAAGTTTTTAACCGACACGCATATCTATTTTTGTGATTGGGGCTATCCAAAACAACAAAAATGAAAGCTACATTCTTTCCAAGTGCCTTCTTCTGAACAACGAGTTATATACAGGGTGTTCGACTACAGATGTAAAAAAATTTAGGGGGTGATTATTAAAGCTAAAATAAGATGAAAATCAAGAATAAAAAGGTCGTTTTATGGAGTAATGTGTAATAATACAAATTGTTGAACTGAATTTCACTTCTAGGAAAACTCTATATCTTCTCTAGTGTTTAGTTTTAGCACAACGATCCTCTTTACAGCGGCTTTTCTGGTTTCTATTATAGTGCCGCGGAAAGATCGCCGACATACGGATAATGTCGATGATAAAGCGCAAATGCCGACAAGTCGAAAAGGTCGGAAAACTTCAATAGGTCTAACGGCCATCAATATATTTTAGCACCGCAGCCATTGATGTTCAGTTCACCGGAAAGTCCAGAGTCAAGAGTCGTTAATCGAGAGTTGCCATATCATACTACTGCATTAAGTGCACGTTAAGTAATCATCGTTTGCGGTTTAATCCACTGTAATAAATCCATCTATCAATACATTATCATATCGAATAGAAACCATTGGAAATTCTAATTTCTAACATTTCTGAATAAAGCATTTCTATAATACATTAATTCACACGTTTGCTCCCTCTATTCCGATATATATACGTCGAATCATGACCGTAACACGGGTCCGGGTCGCTATCATAGTAAGGGTTTGGGCTATGTAACGAATCTTCACTGGAGCTATCCATCTTCTTACACCACTGAAGTGACGTTTATTGACACAAATAAAGATATTACAGAGTTGGCTGGAATCACGATGGTTAGGCACTTGTGACATTGGTCTAAGACTCGATAACGAATCCGCGGTCAACGGGTTAGTAGGCTTATTTCTTCGTCAAAGTCTAAGTTGGAATTGACACCAAGCGTGGAGTAATTACAGATAACAAGGCGTAGTTAACTCGCCCAAGGGCTCGTACACCAGCAAGAGTGACTTTCCGTCACGGTGACGCTGTCGAGG